TTTCCACCTTCCAATCACTCTGCTGTCATCACAGCCGTCCATTTGCATGGCGGGGAGACTCCAAGCAAATCCGACGGCCACCCCATGGCGTGGTACACTGCCTTCGGGGAGGACGGACCCGAGTTCGAATCTGAAGAGCACACCTATCCGAACACGCAGCGCGCTACGATGCTCTGGTACCACGACCACACGATTGGCATGGCCACGCTGAACTTGCTCGCGGGATTGGTTGGGCTTTACGTTATCCGCGATCCGCAGGGCGGGGAGAGGCGGCTCAAGAAGTGGCTGCCACGTGGCGAGCGTCAATTGCACCTCGTGATTGCTGACAGAATGTTTTTCGCGAACGGATCCATCAATTATCCGAACCAGGGCCTCGTGCCGAACGTGCACCCGAACTGGATACCCGGTTACATCGGCGATGCAAATGTTGTGAACGGCAAGGTGAGACAAAGAGATGATTTCTTCTGCTGTTCTTTTTTTTTGTTTGTTTTTACCAACACATGCCTGTTCTGCATTCTGCCTGATCAAATCGTAGTGCTTCTGTGATGGATCTCCACCCCCATTTCTGACCAATCACAGTGTGCCATTTCCCCACCGCTGTCCCTCAGGTCTGGCCATTCCTCAACGTGCGGCGCGCAATGCACCGGATCCGCATGGTGAATGCGGCCAATGCGCGCGTTTACAACCTCACCTTCCAATGCGCTGGGCGTGGCGACCACAACTTCAATCCCCCTCTTGCTGGACCCGTGCTGCCCTTCTACCTGGTGAGAACGAGGCTCCTAGGTAACTCTGATGCACTTGCGCTAGATAAATCACCTCTTGGCGGACCCGTGCTACCCTTCCGCCTGGTAAGAATCGAACAAGGTTCCTACCTGGTGCTACTCTGATGTAGCTGCTTTCAATCTTGACGTCCTCACCAATGGGTAATTACCCTACAGTTGCACTTGAAACAATGATATCATTCAATGCCACCCAGATGGTTCACATCCTTTCTCCTGTCTCTCACTTCCTGACACCCCTTATTCCCCTCTCCTCCCTACTCTTGCTCACCCCTCTTGCAGATCGGTTCCGATGGTGGTTACCTCGTCCGCCCTCTGCACCACTCCTTCCTGCTTGTTGTCCCGTGCACGCGTCACGACCTGCTCCTCGACTTCAACGCTGCGCCTGACTGGTGCCTTACCTGCACCTCTCTTCACCCTGTCCCTGCTTCCCCGTCCCTTCCCTTCCCCATGAGAACACAAACCAGATTGGCTCTGACGGCGGCTACCTCGCCCGCCCCCTGCGCCGCTCCTCCCTGCTCATCTTCCCAGCCACGCGGCACGACCTGCTCCTCGACTTCAACGCTGCACCTGGGTGGTGCCGTGACGTCATTATTGTGAACAACGCCAATATTCCCTTCCCCGTGGTGAAGCCTGCTGACTGGTTCACGGGCGTGGTCATGCGATTCATCATCAACAAACGCTCACTCGTGAAGCCCCCTCCTCTGCCCAAGACGCTTTCGGTGGGTAACTCTTTCCGTCTGCCGCCCAGTTGATAAAAGTGATGTTTTGAGACGTCTCAAAACATCACTTTTATCACGTCGCTTTCGGTGGGTAACTTTCTCTGTCTGCCGCCCAGTTTGGCATGCCTGGCATGCATGCATCAGGCGTTCTTTGCCTTCCCTCCTCTTTTGAAACTCCTCCTTGCTTGTGATACATCCCTTTGATAAACATTTTCCAGGCTGGGAGACAGCACTCAAACACTCACTAACTCACTAACTCACTCACTCTCTCGCTCACTCACTCTTTCCCTTCTGTGCCCACCCATTCACTGCTCCTCCCTCTCTGCACTGCAGCACATCCCCCCAGTGGACCTCTCCCTGGCAGTCAAGCAGCGTTTTCACGCGGTAGTGCATGTGATCGACAAGGTGTTGCATGAACCAAGTGCCATGCTGCTGGACGGCAAGGCCTACTTGGATCCTGCTACTGAGAAGCCCAGACTGATGAGCACAGAGAGCACAGAACCCCCGAGAAGCCCAGAGTGGTGAGCACAGAACACCCAAGAAGCAATGCTGGCTGGCCATAGTGTTTGCAATTGACAAGGCGTCACAGAGACTGAGCGCCATGCTGCTAGATTGGATGGCAAGGCCTACATGGATCCTCCCACTGAGAAGCCCAGAGTGGTGAACACAGAACACCTGAGAAGAAATACTTGCTGGCCATAGTTTTCTAAGAAGTCTGCTAATCCTTGTTGCCTTCCCCTCCTTCACAACAGTTGTCTGAATACTTTTGCGTGTGGTGTGTTTTTTGTCACTACCTGCCTTTTTTCTCAGGGCACTTCGGAACTTTGGCACATCGCCAACCCGAGCTTCGAGGCACACCCCATCCACCTGCACCTCGTTCAGCACCGCCCCATCTCCCGCCGTCCGATCAACTCTAGCGGGCTAATCAACGGCTCCTGTTCGCTCGATCCCGCCTCCTCCAAGCCAAGCTGCTTCACCGGGCCGGCCCGGCCCGTGCCGCTGCATGAGAGGGGATGGAAGGACACCACTGTTGTGTTCCCTGATACTGTTCTCACCATCTTTGTGCCGTTCAAAAGTCAGGTGAGCTGTCTACGCTGGTGTTAGGTAAGTTCTTGTTTGGTTAGAGATGAATCAGATGAGGTGGTGTAGAGGGGGATGGGGACAAAGGAAGGACACTGGTGTCTGATTTTTTCAGTGCCTTCAACTCGCCCCTTCACCTGACCACTCCTCAGTACACTCTCATACCTCTCTTCACCAGTCCCATACCTCTTCTCAACCGTACTGGCAATGCCAACCCTCTGTTTTCCTTCTCTGGATCGCCTTGCATGTCTCCATGTACAGGATGGCAAGCCGTTCCCTTTTGATGCCACCGAGAGCCCGGGCTATGTGTGGCACTGCCATGCCGTGGAGCATGTTGATAACGACATGATGAGGCCGCTCATTATGACGCGGGACCCTAGATTCGTTATGGACATCAGCCTTGGTACAGAAGAAAACGCTGACAATCAGTGTTAACTAGGGAATAAAACAATGAGAACTCGGTGTCAATGCTGAAAACTCAGAGTTGGTAAAAAAATAAACGGCGAGAACTCCGTGTATGCTTTGCCATGAAGCGTCTGAGTGTTGTTAGCACAACCAAACTTCGTCCCTCAAGAATAAGTCCCAAGCCTGGTGTACTGGCCAATTAGCACAGCACCCTACTAGCAGCCCGCCAGCCAGTGCTCTGGTCGGTGTCTCCCGAGCGCAGCGTAGTGTGTCAAGTCAAGATGCTACGAGGGTACGAAAGGACAGGCTAGAGGGCGTTATCAGGTACATGAGGCAACACACAAGCTCTGGATACGGACCACTCGGCTCTACGATTCTTCCGAAGGTGGAGATGAGGGCGAGTGGCCTGTAGGCAGAGGAGTGAGGTGTGGCTAGGATTACTAAAAGCTGAGCTGCGGAATGACCTGCTGCACCATGTGTGACTGAATCAGAGTGATGGTGCACGCTGCTCTATTCTAGATGATCTACAAGCCAAGTAAGCTCGGTTCACCCTAAACTGTGCAGGTGTGTCTCTTCTGCAAGTGCCTCACTATCAGCAATCGCTAAGACCAAGTCGTCGTCGTGCACAAGGATCTTGAATGGCGGCTAAGTAGAGTCAGTGCGCAGATTCACGGATAGGTTCACAGTCGAAAAAAGAGCGAAGCCAAGAGCCGCAAGTGTCGTCCTCAGTGTCTCGTGCCACTCCCGGGGCACCTGAGACTCCATCGGTTACCCTTAGGAAACGACCTAGTAAAGCCAGGTGGGTGGCAGGGCAACGTCCGAGCAATAGTGGGCTGCGCGCGAGCTGCAATGGGCGGCGCGCGGGCAGCAAAGCAGCGCGCGGACGGAAGTGGGCTACGCGTGGGCGGTAGTGTGCTGCGCGCGTGTCGCAGCAGTGTGCTGCGTGCGGGCGGCGGCAGTGTGCTGTGCACGGGCGGCGCGCAGTCGACACGCAGACAGTGCGCGCTCGAGAAGGCAGGGTAGCGTACAGCAGCAGGGTAGCGCACAACGGCAGGACAGGGCGCACGGGTGTATCGGATTTAAGCGTGAAACGACTTGCTTGAGCTGCGAAGTGTGTTACAGAACTATTTTTTCAAGACGTCGCGGCAAAGTTCAGAGTTCGAATAATGGGTGTTCGAATAACAATGATGAAGACAGTTAGATCTCAAAGTTTGATTTTCATAAAACTGAGAAAAAGTGCACACGCCCTTAGATCGCCAATAATGCGTCAATAATAACCTGCGCCTGCCAACCCGCTTTTCCGCGTGCAAGGCGGGCGGACCTGCCTTTGGGAGTTACCACAACCTCCCCCCCCCTCCCCCCCCCAGCGATTCCCACATTCACATCCGCCCAATGCCCCCACTCCAGCATCTGTCCCCCACCACTACCCCACATCGCCGTCCGAGGAAACGTTCACAGGATGTGCCAGAGTCGCACCTCGGCAGAACATTGGCTGTTCGAACGCTCTAAATTCAGGGGCTATATTTGGTAAGATACGGTTTCTAGATTTTTAAATTTGGTTTACTACGGTGACTGACTGAATGTGCCTGTTCTGGTGACGCGCCCTCACCTCACCTCCACTCGATCGTCTGCGACCCTCGCCTCGTTCCATCAGGGCGAGGTTAGCGCGTTCGTTTACAGCTGTAATACAGTTCATTATGAGCGGTTACTCTCGTTTTGTCACGGTTGAAAACGGTTGATCGTGAAAAAGGCCGTTAAAAAACGATTGGAATCGTTTTGCACAAAGACGGATGAACTGTACAACTGTGAGATAGGAACGCGCTAGACTCCCTCCCCTCCGTTCCCCTTCTCCCTCTTCCCCGTGCCTACGCGATTTCACCTATGCAATGCGGATAGCCCGTCCGTACACCGTGAACAATGGATGCAGTACAGCGGGCTGCTCAGCGGAAGAGAGAAAAAGACCTGCGCGGTAAATCCACACACATCGCATGATCGCGTCACTTGATCGCGTTACATGATCGCGTCACATGATCGCGTCACATCGCATGATCGCGGCACGTCGCAGCTCAATCCCGCTTAGTAGTCACTTCGGTGGCAGGCCAATGCTCACATCCCTCCCCCCTCCGCTGCGCAGCCGCTCCGCTTAGGAGTCGCCCCTCCAGTCTCTCAGCAAATTATTGGTGTCCAGACGATTTATTGGTGTTTTGACGAATTATTAGCCCTCCCCCCCGCGCTCCCCTCCGCGTTCTCCGCCAGGCGAGCTCGCGCGCTCGAGGGGATTCTCTCGGCGTTCTCCGCCAAGCGAGCTCGCGCGCTCGAGGGGATTCTCTCGGCGTTCTCTGCCATGCGTGGCGAGCTCCTTCCGCCGAGGCACCCGCTCAGCATGCCATTGGTCCCCGCGCTCGTCGCGCCGTCCCCACCCGTTCTCTGCCATGCGAGAGCCGCTGCAGCGTATATTAGAGCGGTCAGGGTCCATGGCTCTTCACTCGTCCCACGCGTTCCGTTTTTCCATTCGATCATACTCTGCGATTTCGTCCTTCACCCAGTCGAGTCGATTCGGCCCAAGTGGGTGCTTGCGGGCGGAAGTACTACTGTCATTACTACGACATTACTACAACGTTACTACGAGGAGCCATTTCTCTCTCCGACTGCAACAGCTTGCAGAGCAACAGCGTGCTGCGGCGACTTCAACTACCACTAATCGAGCCGCGGCGCGGCTGCGAGTACGTCCAATCTGTGCCACTCTCGTGACGGAGCACTGCAGCCGTGAATCGAACCGCTAGTATTATGAAGATGATGACGCGTCTCACCTCGTTCGCGCGCCTCTGCGCCGTCGTCGTGGCCGCGCTTCTCAGCGTCGGCGGCTTCGGCGGCACGAATGACGGAGACGCCGCGGTGCTGATGGCGCGCGCGCAGCCCCTGGCGGGGCCGCGGTGCGTGAACCGGTTTCCGCAGAAGCCGCTGTGCAAGTTCGTCGACGACCTCGCCGCGTCGCCTCTCACCTTCCTCGACGCGTCGACCGGCGAGACGATTAATCTTGGCGCTTACGCCGTTTCGCAGGTGAATTTCCAGATTTGCATATACGAACTCCCAAATTTCCACCGTCTCCCCGTTCCCTCGCTCACACGCTCCCCCCTCTCTCTCCCCTCGCCCCCCTTCCTTCCGCTCCCCTGGCCCGCTTCCCCTAACAGAAGTTCCACCGCGACCTGCCCGCCACCAAGGTGTATGCGCATGGCGTCTCGCGCGACTCGGTGCGCTACCCTGGCCCCGTGCTCGTCGCGAAGCGCGGCGTCACCACCAAGGTGAGCAGCGCTGCCGGGTTCTTACCGTGAGAGGTTTTGAAGAGTCCTTTCTGCTTCTCAGACATGACATGACAGGGCTCAGCTGCCCAATCTAATGGTTGTTAGCATGCCCGTAATTTGATGAGTCTTCCTTTTCAACGGAAGGAAGTAGCTACCCCATCGTCATATCAATCCTTCCTTTCTTTTTCCACGGCCTGTCCACTTCAGCGATTTCCCCAACCCTTCTCTTCTAAAAAATTATTTGTGTATCTAAATCACGTTCACATTCTCCATCATCGTTCAACATGCTCCATGATCGCAGGTTAACTTTCCGAATTACATCGAGGACAAGGAGCACATGTTCACCATCGACCCGACGCTTATGACGCCCAACCTGACGAACGGCGGTGTGCCAATCAGTAAGTCAGAACTCGGAACCATGGTAGTGGTTTATTAGCAACCTCCCTTTGCTGTGAGGGTCTGCGTGGCTGGTCGACTTCATTTCACGATCTTTTCTCAATTCTTAGGGGTTTCAGTACGGTGGACTTCGGATTCAGTAAGTTTGAAAAACGGCGAATAGTGTTACGCTTTCAGTTCACTGACACCCTGAAAGCGACTCCAGCGTTCAAATCCACGCGCCCCTAACCTCCGCTTCGCTTCTACCTCCCGTTCGCCCTTTCTTTTCGCATCGCAGTCGTCCATTTGCATGGCGGGGAGACGCCAAGCAAATCTGAAGGCCACTCCAAGGCATGGTACACGGCCAGTGGGGAGCGCGGACCCGAGTTCGCATCCGAAGTGCACACCTATCCCAATATGCAGCGCGCTACGACGCTGTGGTACCACGACCACACGATGGGATTGACCGCGCTGAACATGGCTGCGGGAATGGCGGGGCTGTACATTATCCGCGACCCGCAGGGCGAAGAGAAGCAGTTCAAAAAATGGATGCCAAGTGACGAGCGGCAACTGCACCTCGTGATTGCCGACAGGATGTTTTTCGCGAACGGATCCATCAATTATCCGAACCAGGGCTTTGTACCGAATGTACACCCCAACTGGATACCCGGTTACATCGGCGATACAAACGTTGTAAATGGCAAGGTGAGACAAAGGGATTCGTTCGCTGTTTGCGTGCCTTTTGCAACCCCCAATGCAAGCTTTTGCTTTATTAAACTTTGAGGATATTGTTTTTACCAATGAAACCTTGTGCACCCCCATCTCTAACTAATCCCCGTTGTGTCATGTCATTCCGTCCCCCCCTCACCGCTGTCCCTCAGGTCTGGCCGTACCTCGAGGTTCGGCGAGCGATGTACCGGATTCGCATGGTGAATGCAGCCAACGCGCGCACGTACAACCTCACCTTCCAGTGCGCTGCAGCTGGCGACTCCAATTTCACCCTCCCTCTTGCTGGACCCATGCTGCCCTTCTACCTGGTGAGGTCGAGGTGCTCCTAGCTGACCCTCTTGCACCAGGGGGCTAGAGAGGGCTAGAGGGGGCTAGACAACTCTCCTCTCTCAGTGAACCCGTGCTGCCCTTTTACATGGTGAGGCCAAGGTTCTCCTGCCAGTGAGGCCAAGGTTCTCCTGCCAGTGAGGCCAACGTTCTCCTCCCAGTGCTCATTGCCCTGGGGACGAGTCACGATACCACCTCCTAGACTTCAACACTGCACCCGCCTGCTGCCCCGTCCTCTCCCCTCCCCGCTCCCCCAACCCTGTGACCCGTCCTCCCACTTCCTTCCTCCCCTTTGGATTGGCTCCGATGGCGGTTATCTCGCCCGCCCTGTGCGCAGCTCCTCTCTGCTCTTCGCCCCAGGCATGCTGCACAACCTCCTCCTCAACTTCAACGCCGCTGCACTCGCCTGTGGTGTGGCCTATCCCACAATCGTGTTTTGAGCCGAGTTTTGAGTCAACTCAAAACACCCCTTCAACCTCTACAGCACCTCTTTCCCCTCCTCCCTCTCCTCCCCCACCCGCCCCACCCTCCCACTCCCCCCCACCCTGCCAGATCGGTTCCGATGGAGGCTACTTGGCTCACCCTGTGCGCAGCTCCTCTCTGCTCTTCGCCCCGGGCACACGTCACGACCTCCTACTCAACTTCAACGCGGCACCCTCGGCGTGCCAGGACGTCATTCTGGTCAACAGCGCCTCCATTCAACCGCTCCCCCAACCCTGGGACCCGCCCTTTCAGTGCTCTTTGCCCCGTGACCCGTCCCTCCCCTCCCCTCCCCTCCCCATCCCCCTCCCCATCCCCATCCCCCAACCCGGGCAGATTGGCTCCGATGGAGGCTATGACATTTGTCTTTGACCCCACCTCTCCCTCTTCCCTGCCCCCCCTCACCCGTGTTATATCCCCTCGCTGCAGTACATCCCCCCAGTGGTCCTCTAGAAGGCAGTGAAGGAACGCTGGCTGGCCATGACATTTGTCTTTGACCTCTCCTCTCCCTCTTCCCTGCCCCCTTTCACCCGTGTTAAATCCCCTCGCTGCAGTACATCCCCCCAGTGGTCCTCGAGAAGGCAGTGAAGGAGCGGTGGCTCGCCCTGACATTTGTCTTTGACCCAGTGTCGCAGTTACCCAGTGGCATGCTGCTGGATGGCAAGCCCTCCTCCGATCCTGCCACCGAGACACCCCAAGTGGTGAGCACAGCACACCCGAGAGTGCATCCATGCGGTAAGCCCTCCTCTGCTCCTGCCATCGAGAAACCCGAGAAACCCAGTGGCATGCTGCTGGACGGCAAGCCCTCCTCCGATCCTGCCACCGAGACACCCCAAGTGGTGAGCACAGCACAGGCCACTTGAGTAGTGCAATATTTTAGACACCTCTCGATTTTTTCAACTATCCTGCCATCAAGACACCCAAAGTGGTGAGCACAGGACAGGCCACCCGAAAGTACACTCTTGTGGTCTCTGTCATTCCTAGTAAGTCCTTTCTTACTTCTCGGCCTTTGTTGCAAGTTAGCTCAGATTTCTGCACAACTTTCCTTCCCTTCCAGATCGCACCTGTTGACGATCACAACCTTCGTTGCACAAATGCAAGTTAGCTCGAAATTCTCTCCTTTCCTTCTTAGAAACCCTCTGGTGCGCTCTTTATCACTCTTTGATTCTCAATACCCTTTTTTTTTTCAGGACACTTCGGAGATTTGGCACATCATCAACCCGACCTTCGAGACGCACCCCATCCACCTGCACCTCGTTCAGTACCGCCCCATCTCCCGCCGTCCGATCAACTCCACCGCGTATCTCAACGGCTCGTGTTCGCTCCCACCCTCCTCGTCCTCCTCCTCCTACTCCTCCTCGTCGTCCTCCTCCTCCGCCTCCTCTAAGCCCAGCTGCTTCACTGGGCCGGCTGTGGAAGTGCCACTCTATGAGAAGGGATGGAAGGACACGACTGTTGTGTTCCCGGACAGCGTTCTCACCATCTTTGTGCCGTTCATGGGGCAGGTGAGATGCGGTGCAGTGTGGTGGGGAGGAAGGTGGTAGGGTGGAAAGACACCACCGTTGCATTCCCCAAGCCTCAACAGTGCTTTCAACATCAGCTTCGCACATGGATGTCGGTGTCTAGTTTTGAGTCGCCTCAAAACTAGACTTTTCAACCTCAGGTTCGCACATGGATGTCGATATCTAGTTTTGAGGCGCCTCACCCTAGACTTTTCAACATCAGGTTCGCACATGGATGTCGATACGGTATCTAATGTTGTGGGTTTCTTTCTTTCTTTCTTTCCTTCTTTTTCTTTTTTAGACGATGAGATGGTTACCAGATGGTTCTCAACACTTGCTGCAAAACAAACCCCTGTTCTTCCTTGTCCGGATGACCTCGCATGTCTCCACATGCAGGATGGCGAGTTGTACTCCTTTAATGCCACCGAGAGCCCGGGCTATTCATGGCACTGCCACATGCTGGAGCATGGGGACAACGACATGATGCGGCCGCTCATCCTTACTGAGTAGCTCTCCACCACCACATGTGTCGCCGCGACTTTGGGACTTAGGGGGCAACACATGGGTCTTAGAAGATTGTCAGCACTGGAGCATGGGGACAACGACATGATGCGGCCGCTCATCCTTACCGAGTAGCACGCCGCGCCACCACCACATGGGTCACTGCTTTGGGTCTCAGTGGGCGACACATGGGTCTTTGAAGATTGTCAGCACTGGAGCATGGGGACAACGACATGATGCGGCCGCTCGTCATTGCTGTTTAACCTGCGCGTGGCACTGTCATTCTCCTACCACATGGTTGGTTGCCTCCAGGCCTGGCGAAGGCCTTATGGTTCGCGGGTGTTGTTGTTTACATAGTGTGGGTGTTTTTGTTCACATAGTGTGGGTGTTTTTGTTTACATAGTGTGGGTGTTTTTGTTGCGGTGGCTGAGTGTTTCAGAAACCTCTTTATGCAGTGGCTCAGTGAAGCTGATCATGTTGAAATCCGATCTACGGTAGATTCTGCCCTGAAGTGATGCATAGTGTGGGTCTTCTTTCTTAATTTTGTGGGCTCTGGTCTGGGGTTTGTTTTCCGCATGATGTTTTGCTGGCAATAGAGAACCTTTGATATTTGAAGCTCCCTGCACATCAAATGCAATACCGTATAACTGTAATTATAGCTAAAGAAACCCAAGAAATCTGAAGCCATTAGTGTACACTACACGTTGCTGGCATGGCCTACCAGTAATCTAACATGGAAAACAATGAGCTCTGCTCAACCAATCACGGACTTATCAACCAGCAGTATCCACATTGGGCTTGCCAACTTTGCAGTTCCTTCCAATGCTGCACTTACAGTAATCCGCTAAAGCTAAATTGGACACGATGCCATGCCAGGTTACCATAAGAGATTCCCACGGTATGCTGTTGAAGCAAGCAGCTACACATGGACGGACCATCCCACGCATGTCTTAGCATAGCACATCCTTCTTATCAGTTGGTCCCACAACTGATGGTTCAATGAGATCTGTAAACCACAACCCAAAAAAAAAAAAAAAAAAAAAAAAAAGACACCAGCGTGCAAAAGTTGAGTGAAAGGGGACAGGAGGATAAGGGCGTGTGTACTAGGGGGTCGAACTTCAGCAGAAGTTCTAACTTTAAGAGAGGTTGTACATGGTAGGAGAAATTTAAGAGTCGTGTTGTCACGGTTTAAAGCGGTTGAGTTTCGAACATTCGAAAATTTTGGCCATAGTACACACGCCCTAAAGGTCGAGTTTAGGGCATGAATGGCATACGGCGGGAGAGGGAAGGCGGAGAAAAGGGGAACGGGGCGTGGAGCGGGAGAGAGGATGACGGCAGCATGCAGAGTACAAAACGAGGCGCCAGGAAAAAGCAAAGGGAGGAGTTTTAAGAGCATGATCTACCAGACATGGCAACTGAAGATCAGCTGCAGTGCACATCTGATTAGATGAACAGTCGAATATGCCGGACCTGAAGAGCGTGGAGGAAACGCTTCAAGCCCATGTTGCTTGAGACGATAGGATAATCCCAACGATGACCCCGAACAGCCCGAGCGCACTACCGAAGATCTCAATGACGAGGATCTTTACGAATAGTGTCGAGTTCTGCGCGTCGGACAACGCACAGCTGCTACCGATGATGCCCACGCACAACCTGCACACGACGACCTCGAAAAACAATATGAGCAGACCAATCGATCACAAATGACTAGGGGTGGGGAAGCAAGTCAGATGCGTTTGTGCTGGTAGGTCCTATTTTGTGCTGGTTGACCATTTAGGTTGCAGAGTCTGGAAAATGGAGACTTACCCACAAAAAAGGTTCGCGAGACCCACGATGATTCCTGAGTTGAAGATGGCATAACCAGAGCGGAGCGCTTCAGGCGAGTGCAATCTGGCCTTGCCGACGGATTCAAGCTTCGTTTGCAGAATGATCGCGACAATAACGCCGTATATCGCCACAGCTTCACAGAAAATAACACTGAAGGGAGACAAATGACAAAGTTTAAAGACCCATGAGAGGAGACCTGTCGAAAGCATTGAAGCACAACCCTAAGAGAGGTGGAAGAGACAGGGGATCCTAACGCCTACCTGATGAGGTTCTTAGACGTGATCCGCGGAGCTTTAATAGCAGCGCCTATTAGACTGCTTCCTGTAATCAAGATCCCCCTGCGAACAGCCATTTGAAAATAAATTGAGATATGTGACTGGCTATGTGGGTGCGAAACGAGTGGAGCAGATCCAAAGCGGAAGCCTTGCCTACCATGCTGCACCCAGGACGGAAACGCCGATGGAAATGGCGATGCCAATGGCGGAGTACGCATATGGCGAGATCTGCCAAAAGGCCTGCTGGAAGTTCTCCCAATAAGTCTCGAACGACATCGTGCCTAACTAGAGCTAGGCTCCAACAAAGCGGGTCGAAAAGAGCTCGTTAACCGGCTTCGATCACTACTGCGCCCGTATTACTGCCTAACAAGATTGTAAGATGGTGCTTGCCAGCTGTGCAGAGCACAACAATCCCGTAAAGCGGAGATTAATCTCTTCTACATACAGCTTCGGAACCAAGCGGGTTACAAATCAATCCTTGGGCGTACGGTTCGCTCTGAGCCTGAAACTGAATTGATCATCCCAAGGTGGGATGCCAGAAGGATCAGGAATAAGCAGGGTTAAGCAGGTTTGCGAAGGGTTGAACAGGGGTGAGCAGGGATGAGCGCTGAGATCAGAAAAATGGCAGGGGTCAGTGTTCGGGGTGGGGGACTGGGGCTGGCGGGCGGGGACAAGCATAGGACCAGTGCTGGGTGCAACTGATTTTGGACGCGCGAATGGGGTAGGTCAGCAGAGAGGCGAGGGGTTGAACCGCACGAGGTGAGTTCACGCGAAAAAAAGGTTGTTACAGGAGGGCGCAAGGCCTTAACCTTACAACCTTATGGCTATGTTGTAACGAGGACATGTGTATCCCAATTGACGAAGCGGCAAAACAGTTGCTGATTTATTTGTCCGACTCAGTAGCATTATGTGTACATTCAAGGGAACCGTGTCACAAATAGCCCTTATTGGCTACCGCTTCTTCAATCTTTCTTGCCACTTCGTCCACAGAAAGAGCTCCAAGCTCGCCGCCCTTCCTCGTGCGCACATTGAGAGTCCCAGACTCCACCTCCCTAGGGCCAACGACAGCCATCACTGGAATCTTCTGAGTCTCTGCATTGCGGATCAGCTTGCCCAGCCTCTCACCAGTCGCCACCTCAGCACGAATGCCCCGCTCCAATAAGGTGGCCAACACTTCCTTGCAAAAGGGCACCTGAAAAGAGATTGAGAAAAAAAAAACAACACACACACACACACACACACACACACACACACACACACACACACACACACACACACACACACACACACACAGGGAAGACTAATATTAGAAGAACAGGGAGACTAAACCCATCGGAGCAACAAGGCGACAATAGCGTCGATGGCTATTTCCAAAAAATGAGGAGGAAAGGTGGGGGAGGGGAAGGGGTGGGAAGGGACGGGGGGAGGCGGGTTTGCCCGACATAAACGCGTAACCAAGTGCAATTGTAAACAGATGATGAAGTTACTGACCTCTGAGTCTGTGACTGGCAGCAAGCGCAGCTGAGTGCGCGCAAACCAGAGGGGGGGGGTACTGACCTCAGAGTCTGTGACGGGCAGGAGGCGCAGCTGGGTGGGCGCAAACCAGAGGGGGAAGTCGCCCGCGTAGTTCTCAATCAGGATGCCAAAGAAGCGCTCCAGTGACCCAAAGTTGGCTTGATGGATCATGATGGGGGGGGGGTGGTACTGATGGGGGGAGGGTACTGACCTCGGAGTCTGTGACTGGCAACAGGCGCAGCTGAGTGGGCGCGAACCAGAGGGGGAAGTCTTGGGACAACTCAAACCATGGATTTACTGACCTCTGAGTCTGTGACTGGCAGTAGGCGCAGCTGGGTGGGCGCAAACCAGAGGGGGAAGTCGCCCGCGTAGTTCTCAATCAGGATGCCAAAGAAGCGCTCCAGTGAGCCGAAGATGGCGCGGTGGATCATGATGGGCGGGCAGCGCGTGCCGTCAGCATCCACGTACACCATGTTGAACCGGTGCGGCAGGTTGAAGTCCACCTGGCAGAGGGTTATTGGAGGAAGGGAGTCATGCAAGCCTTGTTTGTTTGCCGATGCAGTACACACGGAGTGATATGCAGGTATCAGAAAACGACATGAAGCAATCACATTACGAGGTTGCAAGAAAAATACAAAGAAGAAAAAACATATTCGTTGCAGTCACAGGCTATTTAGTGCATAGTAGCAAAGGTGTAGACTCACCTGGATGGTGGAGCACTGCCACTTGCGCCCAATGGCATCCATAATCTTCACGTCTATCTTGGGCCCGTAGAACGCTCCTCCACCCTCATCCACGGTGTAATCCCACCCCTTGTCTTGCAGCGCCTCCCTCAGCGCCTGGTGATGCGATTTAGAAGGAAGAACACTCACACACAGACACAGGTGGACATGCATTCAGACCATCTTCCAAACTTCCGAACTCGACTCCCACCCTTCTCCGAACTTAAGGCCTGATTGCAAGTGGGAGCGTGATAGAAGTAGTGCTTTGAGACGTCTCAACACACACACACACAGAGGTGCACGTGCATTAAGACAGACCAACTTCCGAACTCGGCTCCCACCACTCTCCTAACGTAAGGACTGATTGCAAGTGGGAGTGACGGGCACACGAATGCATGCGACGGATGGGGAATGGGGAGGGTTGGACCAAGAAAGAAAGTGCACACAGTACAGTACAGTACACGCATACAGTCATGCAGACATGCACACACCGCAATATGCTCCCATGCATTGCATGCCAGGGCCCCACCCACTCAGGGCCCCACCCACCCAGGGCCCCACCCACCCAGGGCCCCACCCACCCAGGACCCCACCCACCCAGGGCCTAATCTGAGTCGCTTTTGACTCTTCTTAAAAGCGACTCCCACCCCTCGCCCAGGCCCTCGCCCAGGGCGTGACAGAGAGACACATACCTGCGTGGCCTACTCCCAGATGGCGTCATCCCCGACAGACTTCTCCGGGCGTGTGGAGAGGTTGATCTCGCGCTGCTGGAAGCCAAAGAGCACACCTGCCCTGTGCCATTCGCTGTGCCATTCGCTGTGCCATTCGCTGTGCCATTCGCTGTGCCATTCGCTGTGCCATTCGCTGTGCCATTCGCTGTGCCATTCGCTGTGCCATTCGCTCTGCCATTCGCTCTGCCATTCGCTGTGCCATTCGCTCTGCCATTCGCTGTGCCATTCGCTCTGCCATTCGCTGTGCCATTCGCTCTGCCATTCGCTGTGCCATTCGCTCTGCCATTCGCTGTGCCATTCGCTCTGCCATTCGCTGTGCCATTCGCTCTGCCATTCGCTGTGCCATTCGCTGTGCCATTCGCTCTGCCATTCGCTCTGCCATTCGCTCTGCCATTCGCTCTGCCATTCGCTGTGCCATTCGCTGTGCCATTCGCTGTGCCATTCGCTCTGCCATTCGCTCTGCCATTCGCTCTGCCATTCGCTCTGCCATTCGCTCTGCCATTCGCTCTGCCATTCGCTCTGCCATTCGCTGTGCCATTCGCTCTGCCATTCGCTCTGCCATTCGCTCTGCCATTCGCTCTGCCATTCGCTGTGCCATTCGCTCTGCCATTCGCTGTGCCATTCGCTCTGCCATTCGCTGTGCCATTCGCTGTGCCATTCGCTCTGCCATTCGCTGTGCCATTCGCTCTGCCATTCGCTCTGCCATTCGCTCTGCCATTCGCTGTGCCATTCGCTCTGCCATTCGCTCTGCCATTCGCTGTGCCATTCGCTCTGCCATTCGCTGTGCCATTCGCTGTGCCATTCGCTGTGCCATTCGCTCTGCCATTCGCTGTGCCATTCGCTCTGCCATTCGCTCTGCCATTCGCTCTGCCATTCGCTGTGCCATTCGCTCTGCCATTCGCTGTGCCATTCGCTGTGCCATTCGCTCTGCCATTCGCTCTGCCATTCGCTGTGCCATTCGCTCTGCCATTCGCTCTGCCATTCGCTCTGCCATTCGCTCTGCCATTCGCTCTGCCATTCGCTGTGCCATTCGCTCTGCCATTCGCTGTGCCATTCGCTGTGCCATTCGCTGTGCCATTCGCTCTGCCATTCGCTGTGCCATTCGCTGTGCCATTCGCTCTGCCATTCGCTGTGCCATTCGCTCTGCCATTCGCTGTGCCATTCGCTCTGCCATTCGCTCTGCCATTCGCTCTGCCATTCGCTGTGCCATTCGCTCTGCCATTCGCTCTGCCATTCGCTGTGCCATTCGCTCTGCCATTCGCTCTGCCATTCGCTCTGCCATTCGCTGTGCCATTCGCTCTGCCATTCGCTCTGCCATTCGCTGTGCCATTCGCTCTGCCATTCGCTCTGCCATTCGCTGTGCCATTCGCTGTGCCATTCGCTCTGCCATTCGCTCTGCCATTCGCTGTGCCATTCGCTCTGCCATTCGCTCTGCCATTCGCTGTGCCATTCGCTCTGCCATTCGCTCTGCCATTCGCTCTGCCATTCGCTCTGCCATTCGCTCTGCCATTCGCTCTGCCATTCGCTGTGCCATTCGCTCTGCCATTCGCTGTGCCATTCGCTGTGCCATTCGCTGTGCCATTCGCTCTGCCATTCGCTGTGCCATTCGCTCTGCCATTCGCTGTGCCATTCGCTCTGCCATTCGCTGTGCCATTCGCTCTGCCATTCGCTGTGCCATTCGCTCTGCCATTCGCTGTGCCATTCGCTCTGCCATTCGCTGTGCCATTCGCTCTGCCATTCGCTGTGCCATTCGCTCTGCCATTCGCTGTGCCATTCGCTGTGCCATTCGCTCTGCCATTCGCTCTGCCATTCGCTCTGCCATTCGCTCTGCCATTCGCTGTGCCATTCGCTGTGCCATTCGCTCTGCCATTCGCTGTGCCATTCGCTCTGCCATTCGCTCTGCCATTCGCTCTGCCATTCGCTCTGCCATTCGCTCTGCCATTCGCTCTGCCATTCGCTGTGCCATTCGCTCTGCCATTCGCTCTGCCATTCGCTCTGCCATTCGCTCTGCCATTCGCTGTGCCATTCGCTCTGCCATTCGCTGTGCCATTCGCTCTGCCATTCGCTGTGCCATTCGCTGTGCCATTCGCTCTGCCATTCGCTGTGCCATTCGCTCTGCCATTCGCTCTGCCATTCGCTCTGCCATTCGCTGTGCCATTCGCTCTGCCATTCGCTCTGCCATTCGCTGTGCCATTCGCTCTGCCATTCGCTCTGCCATTCGCTGTGCCATTCGCTGTGCCATTCGCTCTGCCATTCGCTGTGCCATTCGCTGTGCCATTCGCTCTGCCATTCGCTCTGCCATTCGCTCTGCCATTCGCTCTGCCATTCGCTCTGCCATTCGCTCTGCCATTCGCTCTGCCATTCGCTCTGCCATTCGCTCTGCCATTCGCTCTGCCATTCGCTGTGCCATTCGCTCTGCCATTCGCTGTGCCATTCGCTGTGCCATTCGCTGTGCCATTCGCTCTGCCATTCGCTGTGCCATTCGCTCTGCCATTCGCTCTGCCATTCGCTCTGCCATTCGCTGTGCCATTCGCTCTGCCATTCGCTCTGCCATTCGCTGTGCCATTCGCTCTGCCATTCGCTCTGCCATTCGCTGTGCCATTCGCTGTGCCATTCGCTCTGCCATTCGCTGTGCCATTCGCTGTGCCATTCGCTCTGCCATTCGCTCTGCCATTCGCTGTGCCATTCGCTCTGCCATTCGCTCTGCCATTCGCTCTGCCATTCGCTCTGCCATTCGCTCTGCCATTCGCTCTGCCATTCGCTGTGCCATTCGCTCTGCCATTCGCTGTGCCATTCGCTGTGCCATTCGCTGTGCCATTCGCTCTGCCATTCGCTGTGCCATTCGCTGTGCCATTCGCTCTGCCATTCGCTGTGCCATTCGCTCTGCCATTCGCTGTGCCATTCGCTCTGCCATTCGCTCTGCCATTCGCTCTGCCATTCGCTGTGCCATTCGCTCTGCCATTCGCTCTGCCATTCGCTGTGCCATTCGCTCTGCCATTCGCTCTGCCATTCGCTCTGCCATTCGCTGTGCCATTCGCTCTGCCATTCGCTCTGCCATTCGCTGTGCCATTCGCTCTGCCATTCGCTCTGCCATTCGCTGTGCCATTCGCTGTGCCATTCGCTCTGCCATTCGCTGTGCCATTCGCTGTGCCATTCGCTCTGCCATTCGCTCTGCCATTCGCTGTGCCATTCGCTCTGCCATTCGCTCTGCCATTCGCTCTGCCATTCGCTCTGCCATTCGCTGTGCCATTCGCTCTGCCATTCGCTGTGCCATTCGCTGTGCCATTCGCTGTGCCATTCGCTCTGCCATTCGCTGTGCCATTCGCTCTGCCATTCGCTCTGCCATTCGCTCTTCGCCCATTCGCTGTGCCATTCGCTCTGCCATTCGCTCTGCCATTCGCTCTGCCATTCGCTCTGCCATTCGCTGTGCCATTCGCTGTGCCATTCGCTGTGCCATTCGCTCTGCCATTCGCTGTGCCATTCGCTCTGCCATTCGCTGTGCCATTCGCTGTGCCATTCGCTCTGCCATTCGCTCTGCCATTCGCTGTGCCATTCGCTCTGCCATTCGCTCTGCCATTCGCTCTGCCATTCGCTGTGCCATTCGCTCTGCCATTCGCTCTGCCATTCGCTCTGCCATTCGCTCTGCCATTCGCTCTGCCATTCGCTCTGCCATTCGCTGTGCCATTCGCTCTGCCATTCGCTGTGCCATTCGCTGTGCCATTCGCTGTGCCATTCGCTCTGCCATTCGCTGTGCCATTCGCTCTGCCATTCGCTCTGCCATTCGCTCTGCCATTCGCTGTGCCATTCGCTCTGCCATTCGCTCTGCCATTCGCTGTGCCATTCGCTCTGCCATTCGCTCTGCCATTCGCTGTGCCATTCGCTGTGCCATTCGCTCTGCCATTCGCTGTGCCATTCGCTGTGCCATTCGCTGTGCCATTCGCTCTGCCATTCGCTCTGCCATTCGCTGTGCCATTCGCTCTGCCATTCGCTGTGCCATTCGCTCTGCCATTCGCTGTGCCATTCGCTGTGCCATTCGCTCTGCCATTCGCTGTGCCATTCGCTCTGCCATTCGCTCTGCCATTCGCTCTGCCATTCGCTCTGCCATTCGCTCTGCCATTCGCTCTGCCATTCGCTCTGCCATTCGCTCTGCCATTCGCTCTGCCATTCGCTCTGCCATTCGCTCTGCCATTCGCTCTGCCATTCGCTCTGCCATTCGCTCTGCCATTCGCTGTGCCATTCGCTGTGCCATTCGCTGTGCCATTCGCTCTGCCATTCGCTCTGCCATTCGCTGTGCCATTCGCTCTGCCATTCGCTGTGCCATTCGCTCTGCCATTCGCTGTGCCATTCGCTGTGCCATTCGCTCTGCCATTCGCTGTGCCATTCGCTCTGCCATTCGCTCTGCCATTCGCTCTGCCATTCGCTCTGCCATTCGCTCTGCCATTCGCTCTGCCATTCGCTCTGCCATTCGCTCTGCCATTCGCTCTGCCATTCGCTCTGCCATTCGCTCTGCCATTCGCTCTGCCATTCGCTCTGCCATTCGCTGTGCCATTCGCTCTGCCATTCGCTGTGCCATTCGCTGTGCCATTCGCTCTGCCATTCGCTGTGCCATTCGCTGTGCCATTCACTCTGCCATTCGCTGTGCCATTCGCTCTGCCATTCGCTGTGCCATTCGCTGTGCCATTCGCTCTGCCATTCGCTCTGCCATTCGCTGTGCCATTCGCTCTGCCATTCGCTGTGCCATTCGCTGTGCCATTCGCTCTGCCATTCGCTGTGCCATTCGCTCTGCCATTCGCTGTGCCATTCGCTCTGCCATTCGCTGTGCCATTCGCTCTGCCATTCGCTGTGCCATTCGCTGTGCCATTCGCTCTGCCATTCGCTGTGCCATTCGCTGTGCCATTCGCTGTGCCAGCCCACCTGTGCCTGCCCACCTGTGCCTGCCCACCTGTGCCTGCCCACCTGTGCCTGCCCACCTGTGCCTGCCCACCTGTGCCTGCCCACCTGTGCCTGCCCACCTGTGCCTGCCCACCTGTGCCTGCCCACCTGTGCCTGCCCACCTGTGCCTGCCCACCTGTGCCTGCCCACCTGTGCCTGCCCACCTGTGCCTGCCCACTTGTGCCTGCCCACCTGTGCCTGCCCCCCTACCTGCGTGGCCTGCTCCCAGATAGAGTCATCCCCGACAGACTTGTCAGGCCGAGTGGAGAGGTTGATCTCCAGCTGCTGGAAACCAAAGTCCGTCAGCATCGCCTCTGTGAGGTCCAGCACTCCACGGATCTCGTCCCTGATCTGAGAGGGCAGACAGAATATGTGCGCGTCGTCCTGTGTGAAGAGGGGAGAGGGGAGAGTGGGATGAGCAAGGGTGAGAAACTGTCAGCATGGCCTCTGTCAAATCAAGAACCCCGCGGATCTCGTCCCTGATCTGCGAGGGCAGACAGAAGATGTGCGCGTCGTCCTGTTTTGAACAAGGACGCGCCCAGTGACAGGAGGGAGAGGGGGATTGGGATGGCATGGGAGGGGTGAGCGTCAGCATGGCCTCTGTGAGGTCCAGCACTCCGCGGATCTCGTCCCTGATCTGAGAGGGCAGACAGAATATGTGCGCGTCGTCTGTGTGGAACAAGGAGAGGGGTGGGAGGCACAGACAAGAGGGAGAGGGGATTGCAATAAAAAAGGGAGGGATGAGTGTCAGCATCGCCTCTGTCAAATCAAGCACTCCACGAATCTCGTCCCTGATCTGAGAGGGCAGACAGAAGATGTGCGCATCATCCTGCGTGGTGGGGAAGAGGGGAGAGGGTGCGGGAGGGAGAGAATGGGGAATGGAGTGAGATGGAGTGGGTGTGGGAGTACCGGCACCGTCCCTGTGAGGTCCAGCACTCCACGGATCTCGTCCCTGATCTGCAAGGGCAGGCAGAATATGTGCGCGTCGTCCTGTGTGAAGGGGAGTGGGGGTCGGAGAGGCACACGGGATGGGTGGGAATGGCAAATTTCTGGGTTGAAAGCGGCGTATGTTTTTTGAGAATTCTAAAAAAACATACGCTCGCTCACATTGGAAGGTGGACAAGGCTCAAGGGCGTGACTACAGACTGGGAAATGCAAACCTGAACAATCACTTGAAAAATCACCTGGCGGTTGCTGACCAATGACCTGAGTGATCACCAAGATAATCACCTGAACGACTACCTTAACAACAACCTGAACGACCACCTGAATAACTGCAGCAGTATTTCCTAGCGCCCACTCACCTGGGTGAAGCCTCGCACGCGGAAAAGCCCATGCATGGTGCCAGAGCGCTCATAGCGGTACACCGTGCCTAGCTCTGCCCACCTGTGGGTATGGGGTTGCGGAGGAGGGGGGAGGTGGGTATGAGGAGGAAGAGGGAAGGGAAGGGTGTGCGGTGTGGAAGAGCCTGTGCATCGTGCCAGAGCGCTCATAGCGGTACACCGTTCCTAGCTCCGCCCACCTGCAGGGGGGATGGAGTGTGGGGGGGTGCGAGGGAGCAGGAAGAGGAAGAGGTGTGGGGTGTGGGATGGGAAGAGCCCGTGCATCGTGCCCAAGCATTCATAGCGGTACACTGTGCCCAGCTCCGCCCACCTGTGGAGAACAGGGTGGGAGGAAGGGGGGGACGAGGAAGAGGTGTGGGCGGGGTGTCAGTTGTGGGTGTGCGGTGTGGCAAGAGCCCATGCATTGTGCCCGAGCATTCATAGCGGTACACCGTGCCCAGCTCCGCCCACCTGTGGAGAATGGATGTAGAGGAGGTTGGGAAGGGGGAAGAGGACAAGAACGGGAGGATGGGCCTTGAGCCTGCAGCAGCACTCAAAGCGGTACGCCGTGCCCAGCTCCGCCCACCTGCGCGGGGAATTGGGGGGTGAGGACGAGAGGATGAGGAGCGGTAGGAGTGCAGCGAGTCGTTGTAGAGCATGATGTGGAAGGGACAGTTCATGGGGATGAGGTGGCACCCAATGGGAGAGGTGGCTATGGGGGAGGAGGTGACCTTTCATGGGGAGGAGGTGGCACCTAACATAGAAAGGTCAGCACTCACCTAATAGGGAGGTCACGGTAGGAGTGCAAGGAGTCATTGTAGAGCATGATGTGGAAGGGGCAGTTCATGGGACGAATCTGGTAATGCTCCTCCTCTACCTCCATCTGATAGGGGGTGGGGAGGGAATGGGAGGACGGGGTTGGGAGGTAAAGGAGAGGGGGTGGGGATATGAGAGGAGCGGGAGAGGGAAAGGGAACGGCAAGCGGGCATCGGAGTGAATGTGTGAGCATGCACGATTTTGAGTGCGTTTACGCCCGAATCACCTGACGCTTTCACACTCAGTCAACGCCAGTCAACGCGAGTCAACGGCAGTTTCACCTGGTCAAACATGTTTTCGCGGTAGAACTCGTAGTGGCCGCTGGTCTTCCAGAGGTCCAGCTTGGCCATGTGCGGCGTGTACAGCAGCTCGTACCACCGCCGCAGGTGCTCCTTCCTCCAGTCAACGCCAGTCAACGCTGGTCAACGGCGGTCTCACCTGGTCAAACATGTTTTCGCGGTAGAACTCGTAGTGGCCGCTGGTCTTCCAGAGGTCCAGCTTGGCCATGTGCGGCGTGTACAGCAGCTCGTACCCCCGCCGCAGGTGCTCCTTCCTCCAGTCAACGCCAGTCAACGCGAGTCAACGCTGGTCAACGGCGGTCTCACCTGGTCGAACATGTTTTCGCGGTAGAACTCGTAGTGGCCGCTGGTCTTCCAGAGGTCCAGCTTGGCCATGTGCGGCGTGTACAGCAGCTCGTACCCCCGCCGCAGGTGCTCCTTCCTCCAGTCAACGCCAGTCAACGCTGGTCAACGGCGGTCTCACCTGGTCAAACATGTTTTCGCGGTAGAACTCGTAGTGGCCGCTGGTCTTCCAGAGGTCCAGCTTGGCCATGTGCGGCGTGTACAGCAGCTCGTACCCCCGCCGCAGGTGCTCCTTCCTCCAGTCAACGCCAGTCAACGCGAGTCAACGCTGGTCAACGGCGGTCTCACCTGGTCGAACATGTTTTCGCGGTAGAACTCGTAGTGGCCGCTGGTCTTCCAGAGGTCCAGCTTGGCCATGTGCGGCGTGTACAGCAGCTCGTACCCCCGCCGCAGGTGCTCCTTCCTCCAGTCAACGCCAGTCAACGCTGGTCAACGGCGGTCTCACCTGGTCAAACATGTTTTCGCGGTAGAACTCGTAGTGGCCGCTGGTCTTCCAGAGGTCCAGCTTGGCCATGTGCGGCGTGTACAGCAGCTCGTACCCCCGCCGCAGGTGCTCCTTCCTCCAGTGCTCCTCTATCATCGCCCTCACCCTCGCCCCTCTCGGGTGCCAGAACACCAATCCCCCCCCTGCGTCTTCCTGTTACAAATAGGGGGTGTAACAGTATGAAGAAGGGGGCTGTGAAAAGGGAGGCGTGTACAGCAGCTCGTACCCCCGCCGCAGGTGCTCCTTCCTCCAGTGCCCCTCTATCATCACCCTCACTCTTGGCCCCCTCGGGTGCCAGAACACCAGTCTTCCACCCACATCTTCCTGCTGCGCAAGTGATTGAGAGGGTAAGCACATGGGCGTGTGGGATGAGACACTACAGCAGCTCCTCTCATAACCCCCCCTCAGGTGCTCCTTCCTCCTGTGCCCCTCTATCACCACCCTCACTTCTTTCGCTCCCCTCAGGTGCCAGAACAAGCAGCCCCTAGTCACCGAAACACCGAAGAAGTGGCGGCGGCAGCAGTGGAGGTGGGGCCGGCGGCAGCAGCACCCTACCTGAATGGAGAACAGCCCGAGCTCCTTGCCCAACCGGCGGTGGTCGCGCCTCTTTGCCTCCTCCACCTGCTGCCGGTACTGCAGCAGCTGTGCCTCGCTCTCCCACGCCGTGCCGTAGATGCGCTGCAGCATGGCCCGCGTCTCGTCCCCCCGCCAGTACGCCCCTGCCACTGACTGCAGCTCTATCGCCCTGCGCGGCAGCTTGCCCGTGCTTTCAACGTGAGGGCCCGCGCAAAGGTCCCACCACTCGTCACCTATATTGCAAGGAGGGTTGAGATGGGAAAGGGAAGGGCGTTTGTAAAAGGTTAAAGTGCAGCTCAAAGCGCCCAGCCCAGAAGCAGGTAGCTAGCAACCACGCATGGCCCGCGTCTCGTCGCCCCGCCAGTACGCCCCTGCCACTGACTGCAGCTCTATCGCCCTGCGGGGGAGTTTCCCTGTGCTCTCCACATGAGGCCCGGCGCAAAGGTCCCACCACTCGTCACCTATAATGTAAGGAGGATTGGGATGGGGAAAGGAAGGGAGTTTCAAAGAGGTTAAACTGCAGCTCAAACGCCCAGTATTGAGTCGATCAACTCAACAATACAGCCCAGCGCCTTACACCCCTCGCATACCGATGTGGTAGATGGTGATGGTTTCCGTTTTAGTGCTGTCCAGCAGCTACGGCTCGTTGATCTCCTTGATTTGCCCACATGCCCAGTGAGCCTCACGGTTGGGAAAGAGTAGAGAAGCACGCACGTACCAATGTGGTAGATGGTGATGGGCTCCGTCTTGATGCTATCCAGCAGTTCCAGCTTGTACGGCTCGTTGATCTCCCTGATGCGCCCACACACTCTCCTGTCCCAACCCACCTGCCCATGTCCCAAGTCACGGCTAAACACCCTCACGTAGACCCTCACGTACCAATGTGGTAGATGGTGATGGGCTCCGTCTTGATGCTATCAAGCAGTTCCAGCTTGTATGGCTCGTTGATCTCCTTGATGCGCCGCTCTGCCTCCTCCCTCGACACCTCCTCGCGACGCAGAGGCAGGTTCTTGAAGATGATCTTGTCCTGTAAAGGGGAATGGGGGCGAGTTCAAAGAAAAGAGACGCATTTGCCTCAAACTGATGCACTGCTGCCTCCTCTTGTGACACCTCTCGCGGCGCAAGGGCAGGTTCTTGAAGATGATCTTGTCCTGTACTGGTGGGGGAGGGGGACAGAGTGGTAGAGGTTCAGAACAAGGCATGGTTTCGTTTCGTGCTCTTACGGAGAAGAAGCAACTTTAGGCGCCTCGAAATGCCGCGACGCCTCGAAATGCCGCGACGCCTCGAAATGCCGCGACGCCTCGAAATGCCGCGACGCCTCGAAATGCCGCGACGCCTCCTCTCTTGAAGCCTCCTCGCGGCACAGACAGAGGCAGGTTCTTCAAGATGATCTTGTGCTGAGAGGCAGGTTCTTCAAGATGATCTTGTGCTGAGAGGCAGGTTCTTCAAGATGATCTTGTGCTGAGAGGCAGGTTCTTCAAGATGATCTTGTGCTGAGAGGCAGGTTCTTCAAGATGATCTTGTGCTGAGAGGGGTGGAGGCGGCAGGGGGAGAGGGGTGAAAGGCAGAATGGAAAGAGACGCGCTTTAGTTTGAAATATATCAGACTGCCTCGCTCCCTTTGCTTCCAACACCTCTTTGGGCCACATGACTAGTTTTTTCACACCCATCTTGTCCTCCAAGGGAAAAAATGAGTAAGAAAACTTTTCTTTTACAGTTCCTACCTATGAGTGACACCCGACCACCATTCACTCAACACGGTATTTACCCGTTACAGTCACACCCACGTCCACCCACCATCTCCTTCTTGATCTTCTTGAGGTCCTTGTCAGTGAGCGGCTGGTCGAGGTCGAAGTCGTAGTAGAAGCCATTCTGAATCCACGGCCCGATCGTCACCTGCGCCTTGGGGAATAGGCGCTGCACCGCCATCGCCATCACATGAGCAGACTGGGGGGGTGGGGGAAGGGGGAAGGGGGAAAGGGGAAACGGGGGAGGAAAGCGGAAGGGGGAAGCCGTTCTGAATCCACGGCCCGATGGTCACCTGCGCCTTGGGAACAGGCGCTGCACTGCCATCGCCATCACGTGCGCGGACTGGGGGGGAGAGGGGGGGGGGGGGGGGAGGAAGGGGGGAAGGGGAAGAGGGGAAGAGGGGGACGAGGAAGCCGTTCTGAATCCACGGCCCGATGGTCACCTGCGCCTTGGGGAACAGGCGCTGCACTGCCATTGCCATCACGTGCGCGGACTGGGAGCAGGGGAGGGGGGGAGAGGGGACCGGTGGGGAAGAGGGAAGGGGGACGGGGGAAGGGGGGAAGGGATGAGTCGACTTTTAAATCCACGGCCCAATCGTCACCTGCGCCTTGGGGAACAGGCGCTGTACTGCCATCGCCATCACGTGCGCGGACTGGGGCGAGGGAAGGGGGAGGAGGGGGAACAAGTGGGGACGGAAGGAGGAAGAACTGGGTCGACTCTTGAGGAGACTCAAATAAATTTTTGCGCCTTGGGAAACAGCCACTGCACCGCATTCGCCCCACGAGCCACCCGCCCCACGAGCCACCCACCCCACGCGCCACTCCCCACAAGCACCAACCCTCCAAGCACCACTCCCCTCACGCTTCACGTTGTGCCTCACCCAAAACGCTCGGTTCGCCCCACGCGGCACTCAACCCACACGCCACTCTCTACAAGCACAAACCCCCCAAGCACCCACCCCTCAAGCACCACTCCCCTCAAGCCTTCCGTTGTGCCTCACCCAGAACACTCAGCTCGCCCCACGCGCCACTCACTGTGTGTCTGATCCGCAACAGCTGCTCTGAGCTCTCATTGGTCGGCAGCGGCTCACGTGGCAGCTCCACCTCCACGTCATCCTCCCCCGCGCTCTCCCCCCCCGAACCAGCAGCTTCGCCAGACGCTGTGCCATTCCCCCCTTTCCGCGCGCCCTTCTTTCCCGCCTTCGCTTTAGCACCCCCCTCTGCAGTCACACCGACGACTCCGCCACTGCTCTCCGCCTCGTCAACAGCGACAGCCACTGACGGCGCAGCGTCGGACCCATCCGCGGCTGCGGAGGCGGCGGCGACGCTCCGCGCCCGAGCTGCCCCGTACGGCGGGGACGCGGGGGAGGAAAAACGACTCGCGGAGGCGGATAGAGCGGAAGGAGAGGTGCGGGAGAGGAGCGGAAGCGGGTGCAGGGGGAGGCGGGTGGCGGATAACGGAAGGACGGAGGCTGGAAGGGAGAGCCTGGTGGGAAGGGAATGGAGGGCAGGCAGGGGATTAACAGGGGAAGGAGAGGGGTTGGAGAAAGGCGAACTATTACCAGGAGTAGGTAGGTTGCGACATGTGCATTGTCAAAGCACAGCAAAAAAAATAGAGGTTTAAATTGGAGAGGAACATCGGGAAGAGCTTCAAAATACACTCCAGATGCACATAGCCTTCCCCGCTAAAACGATGCGTGTCGTGTTCACTAACTGTCCAATAAGAGACGGCCGTCGAACATTCGTCAGCTGCCTCTCGTGGCGGTCGCAAAACGTTGCGAATCCGAGCGACGTGAGCTCTACGGAGGGACTGAGGACTCCATGAGCGAGAGGCCTCGGACGGGCTATCACAGCACAGCGATGGAGTTCAACATTACCTTCGCGTGAACCCTAAGAAGGAGGTACGCCAGACAATTAAATGGACGATCGGTGACCTGAATTGTAAGGTAATGTATTTTATCTTGTACTCGCTTATACTAATATCTTCATACTATAGCCACACCCTACGTCCAGCTCTTTGTTGCTGACTTGCCTGCCGACGTGGCTGCTAGAAAGCCGAGCAGTTCCACCAATTGCGGTCCGGAGCTGCCGTGCTGACACGTGCAACGCGGATCGGAACATCCCGGTTTCCGCGAGAAGACCAGGAACAGCAGCCGATGCAGCTGACACCGCGGATAGCGGCGACTCGAGCATGGCCCGCGTGTCGAGTCGCAACGGGCACTTGCAGTCGACAAGAAAAAGCCTCCCAAACCACTGTTGAGACGGAAGTGGAGTATTGATTACAACTCTGGAAGTAGTGGGGAGGGGGAAGGAGATGCGAGAGAGACAGTGGATTACCTTGGGATCATCTTTGGTATCCGGGGTTCATCTCGAGTTTGTTCCAGCTCGGCATCGCCTTGGGTTGGCAATCAGCCATGACGTGGCTTCGCTAGAGTAGGCTGCTGCTCAAATATACGGGTTTTCAGTTGATTGCGCACACTTACTGAACCTATACGCCAAAAGCGCAGCACTGTAGCTTCTGGCGCATGGTTTCTTCTAGTTTTTTCGCTCAAAGCGCAGAATTAGCTCCTTTCAACGCATTTCATTCGTCATTGGCCAAAATATCGACGGACCGACAACTTCCGCTTAAATTGACGGCCAGCGAACCGTCTACACCTGCATTTTGGGCAGACAAAAATATAAACCCCTATCGGATGGCATGTTGTTTAGGGAGGCATCAACCCTAAACACAATGCGGAAGTGTTTAGGGTTGATGCCATAAAAAGTCGGTTTTATTGTTCGTGATGTGTATTATTTTTCGGTGGTAGCATCGAGGGAGTCATCAACCCTGAACACCATAAAATTGGGTGTTTCGGGTTGATGCTCGCTCTTCACGGGTTATTTTTTTTTCCGCGCAGGTAAAAAAAAAGGTCTGGATTGTTACTGTTCGCACAACAGTAAAACCAATTGGCCTCTAATTTTCGAACATGTGGCCCAATGACCATCGAAATGCGTTGAAAGGAGCTAATTCTGCGCGATGAGCAAGAAACTGGCAGAAACCCTGCGCCAGAAGCTACAGTACTGCGTTTTTTGCGCATTGTTCCAGTAAGTGTGCGTGACCAACTGAAAACCCCAAATATACTCGTCAACAGAAAGGTGATTTGCCAATGATTGTAACACCGTAGAGTAGCTATCAAAGTTATTACAAAAAACTAGAGAGTAGAAAACCATGTGCATTAAGGACAAAGCCCCACAACTTAGCATTGTAATAAACTTGGGAGGTGGCCAGCATTAGATAACCTGCCAGCCTATGGTTGGCTAAGAACCCTACTAAAGCCTCGAGGCTAGAGTTGAATATGAACACCAACAATCTAAATCTCGTGACCTGCTAGCTTCTACCAGTTTGTACAATCCATGCAACTCCAATCCCACTCATACTCCCTATACCTGTACTATAAGAACTGCTCATTGCTTGCAGCTTTTCTCCTTTGCCATCTCTTCTGCAATTAGCCTCTCCTTTGTTGAGGGTATCCGTGCTGCTTCAGTCTTAGCTGATGTAATCAGGTTATGTAACCTTGACGCCATAGAACCAGCCTTCTTAGCAGCCTCTGAAACCATGGACGTCGTCTCCTCACCTTGCTCCAGAATGGACTGCATGCGCAATCGAATCGCGCTCGTCGCTGGCATGACAAACACAAAATCATCAGCCTATGAGAAATCAAGAAGAATGAAGGAGAAGAAGAAAAAGAAACGGTCAGAATGACAGAAATACCTTGTGTACATTTCGCAGCTACAGCACCGCACGGTTTCCTTATCTTCTGTGACTTCTTCAGTCGCTCTAGCTTAACTCCCAGCTTATTCTGGACCTTCTCCAGAGCCTTCGTCCGTCGCTGCTTTACTAATACAGCCAGCTCCTTTATCTCCGACTCAAGAGCCTCCGCTTGCGCCTTGGATAACGCTGCGTACAAACACGAACCGACACAAAGTAAATCAATGTGAGTACAATCCATCTAAATAAGGGATTTAACTCTTTGCCTCCGCCACTAGCTTACCTAGAAGCTGGTTGTCTTCGGAGGCCGGAAACGCTGTTTCCTGTAGACCTTGGTATTTCGAAACAGAAGCAACGGAGTCTATGGCAGAAGTTAATCGGGACGAGAGTTGCTTCAGCTCGATCTGCGCTGCTTTAGGTATTACGTTAGAAGACTTATCCTGCTCGCCCGAAAGCTCGGCCGCATGCTGGGCGCACGTATCTCGACACCTCGTAGTCACTCTCTGAACTAGCTTTCGAAAGTCCTTGGGTCTTAACGAGTCCCCCATTTCTAAGTAGCCAAGAAGATTCTCTGACGGTAAAAAGAACTCTCGTATGTGAGATCTCGAGGCTCCACTAGCAGGCGTGAAACGGTCACAAGCTGCTGGCAGCTCGATGCTTGATAGTCTCAGGTGGAAGCCAGTCGAGGGAAGTGACATGGTTTTTTGCTTCCCAGAATTGTGTCAGGTGCAATCAATGATGGCGCGAAAACCTGGGATCGCGTACACCAGACAACAAAGTTATTGTGTGCTTCGTTAAAGCATATCGATTTCATGTAGCAGAGTAGCAAAAGAAGATTCTCGTATGTCTTCATGCCATATATAGTTAAAGTACCGGTTTGTCAACTAATATTAAAAGAATTCATCACATGTTTTTTTGTTTATCTCACTCCACCGTATTAAGTAGAATTCATATGTGTGAAATGGAATCACCTTGTGTAAAATGAAGTGCTGGAAATGCTGTTATCTGATATTTTCAGAAGGCACCTTTGAGCACCTTTGAAGCTCGTTTTTGTCACTGGTACGTGTGTGGAGTGGATAGGGGTGGGGGTCTTTCGGCTCCCCTCGATATTGCCGCGGTGTCAGATTCGGGATTCAAACGCAACAGCAAGCCTTTGCTGCAAGGTTCGAATATTCCGTTTGGGAGACTACATGGGAACTGAGAGCAAGAGAGGGGAAGTGAAAGATCGTTCCTGACACCGTTCCCGTCCGCCCTTTAGTCGCTTTCATCCGGCGTTTCCTGCATTGATTCATTCATTCGGCTTCGATCCTGCATTTTCCTCATACATTCAGGACGTAGACCATCTCTCTTCCAACCCCTCCCTTCTTCGGACACAGCAAGCAATCCTTGTCGTACAACGGACGGTACACTTCAAAAACAGCATCCTTTAGCATTTTCGACACAGCATCGCAAGGCACCACCTTTTATTAAACCGAGGAGGCAGAGGCAGCGGATACATCATGGCGGTGGCATGGAACAGACTGAAAAAGTTCGCTCCCCAGGCGCTGCTGCTGCTGATTATGCTACAAGTACCGCTTTTCAGGTGAATCTTCACGTCAAGTGATCTCAAGTACATGTCAGGCACCTCTCTTTAGGTGGGTGAATAATCGTGTCCTCTGTTGCGGTTCAGGTGAATCGTGTCAAGCGTATCAGTACACGCAGATCCGCGTTTCACAGCAACTCAATAAGTGCATTTTTTAGCAGATCGACTTCGTACGCACAGAAAGTCTTACAGAATTCTCGGCTCCATTTATATCTGAGCCATAGTGTCGAGCTCCGCTTTTTCACGTGATAACTAATGAGCCGACTCAAAAGTCATCTTATTTCGAGTCGTCTCAGAAGTGAACTCGGTTTTATTTAAAATCTGAGCCACGTGTTAAACTCCGCTTCTTCGCGTGCTGTTTCAGTCGCACAGTATCTCCTTGGCACACACTCCCTGATCCTTAACATTCACTTCCCCCTTTCAGTTCACAACCCCCCTCCCTCCCTCACAACCCCCTCCCTCCCCTCACGAGGTGATAGCGGTTGTCATTACCGCTCTGCCACCCCGTCTGGCTGCCACCTATCCTCCTGTCCCTCATCTTCCCTCCCTCAATCACCCTCCCCCAATTCCTCCAACCCCTTCCGCTTTCTCCCCTCCCGCCACGCTCCCTCCCCCACGCTCTCCCCCATTCGCTCCTCCCCACACGCTCTCCCTGCTCGCCCTGCTGTTGTTCCATGCTGGCAGCATAACCATATCCAACCGCCAGGTGGATTCACCAATAGCAGTCGTCATCACACAGCTCTGCCACCCCGTCTGGCTGCCACCTGTCCTCCTCTCCGCCGTCGTCTACCCCGGTGAGGTGGCGCGCCACGTGGGCGCCGCCCTGCTGGACGGTGACGTGGCGGCGGCGATGCGCCTGCCAGCGTGGCAATCCGTGCTGGAGCAGTACGAGAGGCCGTTTGACGGCCCCCAGGATCCCACTGACCCGGGCCTGCCACTACTGCGCCTCGAGGTGAGGGGACGTGGGTTTGGGGTTGAGTTGAGGGGTTTAGGGTTCAGGGTTGAACAGCCGCTGCACCCTGCGGTAGCAGCACCCTGCGGTAGCAGCACCCTGCGGTAGCAGCACCCTGCAGCAGCAGCACCCTGCGGCAGCAGCACCCTTGGGACGATACCCCTGGGGCAGTCTGTGCTGGAGCAGTACGAGAGGCCGTTTGATGACCCCGGGGATCCCACTGACCCCCGGCCTGCCTCTGCTGCGCCTTAGAGGTGAGGGTTTCAGGGACAGGGTTTTTCTTTTTTGCAGGAGGTAAGGGGTTCGCGGCAGAAATTGCCTGGATTTGAAAGCAGAGTTGGAAAGAATCAGGTGTGTGGAATCTGTTGAGGCAACTGTGGCTGGGTGCTACAGCAGCCAGACGATGATGAAAGCCAGCTGTTCGAGGCAACTCGCGGTGGAGAAAGCTTTAGCAGCCATGTTCAAAGCCTCCCGCTTCCCTCTTTCCCCCACCCCTTCTCCTCCCCTTCACCGCCCACTTCCCCTCCCCCTTCTCCTCTTCTCCTCCTCTGGGGGCTGCAGCTTCTGGCACCGCCTCAGCAACCCCCCTCCTGACCCCCTAACCTTACTCTCCCCCCTCCCCAGCTGGTGGTGGGCAGTCATTTCGCAGTGGGGGGAGCCATACCAGCTTAGTTTAGAGCCACCCGCATGCCACTGCTCGGCCTCCTGCCGCTGCTCTGGGGGCTGCAGCTTCTGGCACCGCCTCAGCAACCCTGCTCTGGACCCCCTACCCTCTTCCTCCACCCTTCCTCAGCTGGTGGTGGGCAGTTATTTCGCGGTGGGAGGAGCCATAGCAGCGCAGTTCAGAGCCGCCCGCATGCCGCTGCTGGGCTTCCTGCTGCTGCTGTGGGGGCTGCTGCGCCCCATATTGCTCCCTCACACCTACCCCGACCCCTCCAAGGTACCTACCTCCCACGTACCCACTGAGTTGATGGAAGTAAGGCCTCAGCTGCCCACCTGCCCACTGTGGCATGCCGCTGCTGGGCTACTGTGGCATGCCGCTGCTGGGCTTCCTGCTGCTGCTCTGGGGGCTTCTGCGCCCCATGCTGCTCCCTCACACCTACCCTGACCCATCCAAGGTAGTGTTGTGCTTTCCTCTCATCACCAAGGTACCTCCAAGGCCCCTCCTTTGCCCCTCCAAGGAGAATCCACCCCCCCGACACCTGCGAGATAACTTCAAGGTGAGGGGAGAGACAGCAGCCGTGTTAAAAGGCTGCCCGCATGCCGCTTTCTGGGCTTCCTGCTGCTCCTCTAGGAGCTGCTGCGCCCCATACTGCTCTAGGAGCTGCTGCGCCCCATACTGCTCTAGGAGCTGCTGCGCCCCATACTGCTCTAGGAGCTGCTGCGCCCCATACTGCTCTAGGAGCTGCTGCGCCCCATACTGCTCCCTCACACCTACCCCGACCTATCTAAGGTACCGACCTCTCACCCCTTTAAGGTAACTCCCACCCATCAAAATCCGATTTTGACTTTTGGGTGGACTCAAAGGTTCCCCATTTGCACACTCTCCTTGTGTTTGGGTTGCTCGCCTTCCAGCCCGCCTTCCTCGTCTGTTCCCTCCTCTCACCTTTTCAGCCGCCTCAACCGCTTTTCTACCTCTCCCTTTCACCCCCTTTTGTTCCTCCTAAGTGCAACCGCCGTCCATCCAGCCTGCCTTCCTCATCGGCCGCCTCAGACTGCATTTCTACCTCTCCCTCCCACCCCCCTTGTTCCTCCTAGGTGCAACCACCGTCCATCCAGCCCGCCTTCCTCATCGGTTCCCCCCTCTCACCTTGTCAGCCGCCTCAAATCATGCCTCCTCTACCCCTCCTTCCCATCCCCCTTGTTCCTCGTAGGTGCAACCACCGTCCATCCAGCCCGCCTTCCTCATCGGCCTGCTGCTGTCATGTTAGGCGCCTCAAAACTCATCTCTACCCTACCCTCCCACCCCCCTGGCCCCTCACTCTCCCTCCCACCCCCCTTTGTTCCTCCTAGGTGCAACCACCGTCCATCCAGCCCGCCTTTCAAGAAACATATCTACCCCTCCTTCCCACCCCTCCCCCCCTTTGTTCCTCCTAGGTGCAACCACCGTCCATCCAGCCCGCCTTTCTCATCGGCTTGACGCTTGCTTTCTTCTGCCTGCCCGGTGAGGGGGGCAGCCCGAAGAAAAAACTAAAGCAGGCGACGATCAAGGCTGGCTCAGATGCTGCCAAGGCGGAAAAGAAAACAAACTGAGAGGAGTTGGTTGATTCAGGAGGATTGATTCAAGGTTTGCGATCCGAAGGGACAGAAGCAGAAACATGGGTGAAGTACGGTAATTGTTTGCTATTTCTTAGTGTTTGTTGGGAACTGTAGATATCACAAGAGTTTTTTGTTGATTTAAGGTGGTTGTAATAAAAGCATAGAATTGGGTCAATGCTTGAGAGATTGCCAGCGGAAAATCAGCTTAGCAACAGTCCTTGGGAGAGAAGAGAATCTGCCATACCATTTGCTTCTCTTGAGAGAGAAGCTGCCTACAAATTTTGGGAGAGAACCTGTTTGCCGACCTTTAACAAATTGGAGAACAGCATTGGTACTTACTGGTTAGACAGAATACTCACCAGGCACAGCATTTCATTCATTTCCAGCTTCACATGAATACAGGATGGGACATGGTACATGCAAAACAAATATCACAGCTGTACCATTAGGCATACTCAGCAGCTCCGAACCATATTGGTTTCAGGTGGGCAAGCCCCCACCCCACCCATGTTCCTCCTTTCCGCCATTCCTCCCCAACCCCTTTTGAGGCAACTCAAAGCTGTACCATTGATGCAGACTCAGCAGCTCTGAAACATCTTGGTTTCAGGTGGGCAAGCCCCCACCCCACCCATGTTCCTCCTTTCCGCCATTCCTCCCCAACCCCTTTTGAGGCGACTCAAAGCTGTACCGTTGATGCAGACTCAGCAGCTCTGAAACATCTTGGTTTCAGGTGGGCAAGCCCCCACCCCACCCATGTTCCTCCTTTCCGCCATCCATCCCTTCCAAACAGTCCATTCCCCCATTGCATCCCACCACTCCTCCACCTCCATTCCCCCATCTCTTACCTTCCATCACTCATCCATCCCTCCATGCCTCCATCTCTCCTCCCAACCCTCCATTCCACCGTCTCTCCCCATCCATCACTCCCATCCATCCCACCACCACTCCATCCCTTCCCTTCCATCCATGATCCGTCCCTGCAACCGTTCACCCCGTCTAAGCTCTGCTTCAGACCTTTGAAGCACCTCAAAAGTCCATCCCTCCCACCACCACTCCATCCCTTTCCTGCCATCCATACACTCCTGCACCCACCATTCACCCCTTCCGCTCTGCTGCACTGCAGCCTCACTGGAAGCAGGTTTGCGGTGTGCACAGCAGCTCAGGAACATCCCCGTTTCTAGGCCCTGCATTAACGCGTATAAAGTGCGCGAGCTCCCGGTCCGCAGTGTGCATCGGCAGCCGATACGGCGGGTCGAAAATCGACAAATCCGCGTTAAACTCGGTGAAAGTCGCTCCATTCACCAGCAAATCCCCAAACGAGCGAATCACCGGGGTCGTATCGAACCCCTCCGTCCAAAGGGCGCGTTCGCCAAACCACGGGGTGAGTTCTTTTCGCGCGTCCCCGGCGATGAAAATGTTGCGATCGGAACGGATTGCCGCGTACATTCGGCCGCCGAGGCAGTAGTAGGACCATTTGGAGTATAGGCTGTTTGCCACGTGGACCCTCCCCCACCGCGCCTTGGGCTGCCGCTGCCCCGACTTGTCAAACCAGTTGCGGTAGAGGGTTACCCGCATGTCCACGTCGTATACCCCGTCGTCTTCTGCGCCTAATAACATGGTGAGGTTGCTGTATGGATGGGCATATGAGGGGAAGTAGGTGTGGGAGAAGGAGAAAGGAGGTGAGAAGGTTAGATACGGCTGTAGAGGCAGTTGTACAGGTGCAGTTAGAAGTAGAGAGGCTGTTTGCCACGTGGATGGCCACGTGGACTCTCCTCTTCCCCACCGCGCCTTGGGCTGCCGCTGCCCCGACTTGTCTAACCAGTTGCGGTAGAGCGTTACCCGCATGTCCACGTCGTATACCCCGTCGTCCTCTGCTCCCAGCAGCATGGTCAGGTTGCTGTGTGGGTGGGAAGGGGGGGGGGCAAGGCAGGGGATAGGGGGAGGGGGGAGTAGAGCGTTACTGGCATGTCCACGTCGTATACCCCGTCGTCCTCCGCTCCCAGCAGCATGGTGAGGTTGCTGCTTGGATGGGCAGGGGCACGTGAGGAGAAGGTGGGGCAGGGCATTATGCATCATACACCATCACTCGCATGTCCACGTCGTATACCCAGTCTCCTAGCAGCATGGTGAGGTTGCTGTGTGGGTGGGCACATGAGGGGAAGGTGGGGGAGCATCACACATGTATATGCAGGGAAGCAGAAGGTGGTGGGGGCGAGGCTGCTGCTTGGACGGGTATATGTGGGGAAGGTGGGGAAGGGGAGGCAGGGGGAATGGTGAAGAGGTTGGTTCGAGTTGAGAGCGATAGCCAGAGCCCACTGTACTAATACCTGCTGTATATGAACATGTGTAGACATTTATGAATGAATGGCATGCAGAATATGAACATGCAAAGATATGGATGAATATGCATGCAGTATATGAACATTTAGATGAATAAACACATGCTATATAAGACCATATCTGCATACAACGCACCACTTACCGGTTGCTAATATACGAATTGCTGATGGTGATATCCGTAGAGCCGTAAACGGCGTCCACTGTACCGCGCAGGGCCTTGTACACCTGGCAGTGGTCTATCCACACGCGCGTCGTGCCCGCTATGTGCACCACGTCGTGATCGCCGCGCTGGTCGCCGACTGCACGGGCAATGGATAACGGTGGAGGGGAGAAGGACAAGGAAATGGGGTACTTGATGCCGCTAAACCGGCTGCATGCGCGTCGTGCCCGCTATGTGCACCACGTCGTGATCGCCGCGCTGGTCGCCGACTGCGCGGGTGGGTGGGGGGAAGTAGGTGGATGGGGGAAAGGGGGAAATCTCGGGGTTGGCTCATTGCGATGTGCACCACGTCGTGGTCCCCGCGCTGGTCGCCGACTGCGCGGAAGGGAGTTTGAGTTGGGGGGGAAAGAAAGTGGGGGGGGAGAGGGGGGTGCGGAATGTTTGGCTTCGCGTTATTGCGACATGCACCACGTCGTGATCACCGCGCTGGTCGCCGACTGCGGGGAAAGGAGTGGGGGGGAGGGGGGGGGGGGGGGGGGGGGGGGGGGTAACAGGGGGTGTGCGGGCGGATGGGGGAAAGGGAGGGTGGGGCCAATCCGATGTGCACCACGTCGTGATCGCCGCGCTGATTGCCGACTGCGCGGGTTGAGAGGGGGGCAACGGGGGATGTGCGGGCGGATGGGGGAAATGGAGATGTTGGGGTCAACCCAATCCGAGGTGCACACGTCGTGATCGCCGCGCTGGTCGCCGGCTGTGCGGGTGGGGGAAGGAGGGCGGTGAAGGGAGAGGGTTAAAGGGGAAGGGGGGAGAAGAATTGGAGGGGAAGTTTGAGAGTGGGTTTACTCCGATGCGCACCGCGTCGTGGTCGCCGCGCTGGTTGAACCGCAGAGGAAGAGGTGACTTTTGAGTCGACTCAAAAGCCACCTCGGAGGAAAAGGTTGAATGGGTGAAATTCGAGATTATGCGGAAAGGAGCTACGGGGGGGAAGGAAGGCGGGGGAATGGGCGGAGCTGGGGAAGGTTTGGGAAGGCTCCCTCGGAGTCTGACGCGCTGCGCATATGACCCCGCGCGCATGGAACTGCGCATATGGGCCCGCACGCAGGGAACAGCGCAAATGGGCCCCGGCAAAATCAACTCGAGGCCCACCACACGATTATAGACGACAACTCTAAGTGTTTGTCCGTTCTCTCCCCCCAGCCTCGCCATAGCATGACGTCAAACACTGAAACTCGAACCTCTCCCGCTTATTCGCCCCCTCCCCATTTCCCCTTCCCCGCTTCTCCCTCAGGTCCGCGCCCCCCCCATACACAAAGCCCGACAAACAACAACCCCCCAATCCCGGCTTCCCCTCCAATACCCCCCGCGCCCTCCCCCCCCTTCCTCCCGCCGCCCCCCGTTACACTCACTCGCGACGTTGTGTATGATCACATTCGTGATGTTCTGCAGCACCATCCCTCCGCGTATAATCACATTCGCGCCGCGACCGTCGATCGTCACGTGCGATTGCAGAAACAGCCGCTTCTGTAACCTAATGAACATCGAGCTATTAAAGCGTATAATCACACCCTCGGGATAGTTACTTAAACCCCATCTTAGCGTGCCTTGCGGAACGTCCTCGGCCCTATCCACGTCACTGGTAACCACATAAACGGGCTTTCCCAGCCCGCCAGTCACGCCGGCAAGTGCGGCGTAACCCATGGCGCATCTGTACAGATTCTCTCCCGCGCCGCGCGACCGGTACGGGCAGTCCACGTTCCTCTCCCCCGCTTTAATCACATCTTGGTATGGTGTCATAGGGAACCCATCCCCCGTTACTGGAAGCACCCACGAGTCTTGCCCCGCCGAACTGCCTTCTACCGTGCCTGGATCGGTCTTTTCGTCCCCATCCTCCTCCCGCCCGCCCTTTCTCCGCTTCCCCTTCCGCCGCGGCAGCCTCACGGGGAAGTTCCGCGCGGTGAAGAGCTCCGCGGGGGGGAATTCCGCGCGATCTGCGCTGGTGCCGTCCCCCGGGTCTATCAAATAACTGCCGGCATCCCCTCCCCCTGTCAGATAACCTGCATCAACGGCATCCTCCCGCTTCCTCTTCCCTGCGCCGCCGCTTGCGCCATCACCTGCGCTATCAACCGGCGTTTTCCAAATGCTGTCGGGACCGGAACCGAAGAAGCGGCCGAGGCGGAACAAGCGAGGCGGTCGCACCTGTTCCAGATCCTGCTCCTGCTGTTGCAGTTGATGTTGGTGCTGCGGCTGCTGCTGCGGCTGTTGCTGTTTTACTAAGCGGTTCGGGTCGTAAACGGTCGCCACTGGCGACGCGACTGCGACGAACGAACGAACGCCGCTGCCAGGCGGAGTGAGTGTAGCGAGTGATACTGAAGCGAGGTACCAGGCCCAAAAGAGCAATAGTCGCAATAGTCGATGTAATCTCCTCGTACGGGTGGCGACGATGCGAAACCGGCGAAAGGATGTTCTAGATCGAGCGGAAGGCTGACAACGGGCGGATGTCGTACTGTACACTGAGATGCAGTGTGCGGCCCCGCGTCGCGCGCCCGGGCTGTAACCACGCGTGCTATTTGCAGTTGTACTACTAGCCGCGGTAGTTTGAACGCGCGTGCTACTAATGTGCGGTTGGCTCACAGAACGATGGCAGCATAGCGAGGGCTTTGGGTCAATCGCGCGAGGGGGACGGGTGGCCATGGTAATGTACAACGGGGAAACGAGAGTACCAGCACCTAGCTACCTCTGGATGAATGGGTGATAGCGAGGAGCTTCAAGTATTTTCTGGCGCCTCTCAAGTCGACTCATGTCTAGCTACCCTTGGATGATTGGGCGATGGCGAGGAATTTTAAGTAATGTACATTGGAGCAGCACACCCAGCTAGCGGTCAAATAAGAGCGCGGCGGATTAGAGCGAGCTGCTTATGCAGCGAATGACCGAGCCTAACACGGGCAGCCTCTCGTACTTGCTGGAATGGTATGTTATGTGGTATTGCTGCCCTGCTGACGGTCACTCACGCGCATCAAGGAGAATTACTTTTATCGAGGTGCTAAGACCTAAGTGCGCTGCTGCTACTAGCATTCTAGCATTATCTGTGGCCCGCCGCAAACGATGCAACTTGTGGATGAATGGGTGATGGGGAGGATGACATGGCTCAACATGCACCTCCTGTTTCTGATAGCCAGTTGAGTAAAGAGGGGAAGGGATGAGCTCGCCCCACTACCGAATGCTGGGGAGGGGAAAGTGCGAAACGGGTGAAGGCAGATTGAAAAGCGCAGGGTACGGAATGATGTCGGTGATTGTACTGAAGGGATTAGAGAAGAGGAGAGAGTCGAGTCGATACAGGATGGCGGATGTGCTGTTGTGGGCGTGAGGACAGAAGAGGCGAAAGCAGCGCGTGGGGAAGGACGTGTGGAAGCAAACCACACCCACCGACCGAACCGCGTCCGCAGCGAAATTGCAGACATTGCCCAGCATGCGGTGCGAGAATCGTGGCAACAAGCACGCGAAACTTTGACTCGATTCCCTGCCCGCCACTCGCCGCCGCCACAGATGCATGCCAAAAACCCGTTTGCCTGAACACACGCGACGCCAGACATGCGTTGCAATACCGAGTTTTCATATCACATATCTTCTTTGACCTGCATAAGCTGGTGAACATGGATACAAGAAGATGCAACTAGCATATATATTAATAAAAGATTGGATCTACACATTGTACCTATCCATGTTGGGTGAGTCCGAGATGGACTGGGTTGATAGGAGGGGTGATAAGCAGGATTTTGGGGAGGAAGCAAGCACCATGGGTGCACGTGCCATACTTGGTTGACATGCGACTATAGATGTCTCAGGAAACAACACTTTGTTCGGGGTTTTTTCGTTTACGTATTCTTAGGTTCGAGATGGTAAGACTTTCCTATGAAGGGTTTCACTGTATTCACTTTTGTGATTCATATTGAGGAAAAAACCTTTGGCCCCACAAACAAAACTTAACGAAATAATTTTGCACTATTGCGGAGAGAATGCATACATACGTGTCGGAATGAGATAATGAATAACTGACGCGAGGATACGGTTTCTCACATATAACAAGCATGCGCTCTATATGGCAAAGATGTAAGAGATGGGATCCACAAATGTGTATGCTGACACACCCCTTGCGCTAGGTAAGAGATAGTGCCTAGCAAATGAGAAACAACCCTGGGCGACACCCTTAGTCCAACCTCTATGGCAAGGGGCCACACGGCCAGCCAGCAAGAACAGCAAAGCGTAAATGGTACAACTTGTTGGAGGAGCACTGGGATCGGCATGGGATCCTGAGAAAGGGTCACAGGCAAGGATTGCGGAGATTCACTCTACAACGGTAGTGAGCTAGACTACGGGGGTTGGCACGAACTACTAGGAGTGATCGTAGCTTTGCTTGGTTCCTTAGCACTTGCGCATTCACGGGAGAGATTAGCAGGAGTTTCACTAGCAAAGTTGGAATTACAGAATGATTGAACAAGCAATGACAGAATGACTACATCAGGCACCTAGCAACTCTGCTGCTAGCCTGGTTGACCGCCAGCACTGCATGGTCGATCGCCTGCCAGCGTTGCATAGAGGAGCCGCGCCAGTGCTGCAGAAGACGACCTGCCAACACTGCAGGTCGACGGCGTGCCAACGTGTCAAAATGAAGAATGGATGATGCATTGATGTTGGTTGGGGTACATATAGCTAACCCTAAGTTTTGTACCCCCTAAGACAAACCTCACTATAGGCTACAACATTTGACACACCCCCATAGCCTAAGTGAGGGGTGTCTAGCAGAACCAAACGAGTACGGTCACAAGACCAGTCCAAGAAACAAAGCTCAGGGTGGATCACAACGTCACCACACAGTCTGAGCACAAACAACAGTGGCCACAAGGCCAGTCCAAGAAGTAACAGAGATATATAGAAAGCAAAGTAAACAGTACACTCAAGTCTAAGCAACACGAGAACCAGTGTCAACAAGGCCTAACTGCACACAGCACCTCTGGTGGTCACAAGGCGGAAGCGCCTTGGTGAAGATGTCTGCAGTGTTGGCCTCGGACTCCACAAACTCAAAGCGAGCCTGTCCACGCCTCTGCAACTCTCGCAGAAGAAAGTACCTGACGTGAATGTGCTTCACTCTGCTCTCCAGTCGTGGCTCTCGACAAAGGAGAATAGACGCCTTGTTGTCAGTGAACAAGGTCGGTGCAGAGCTCGGCCGCTCACCAAGGTCGGTGAGCAAGAAGGTCAACCAACGCAGCTCCTGTGCCGCCATGGCACCAGCGTAGATCTCAGCCTCAGCTGTAGAGGTCGAGACCGAAGAGGAGCGCGTGGACCGCCAGGAAACAGCTCCAGAACCCAGGCTGAAACAGTACCCCTGAGTAGACCTGTGAGTCTCAGCGTCGTCAGCGTAAGAGGAGTCACAGTGACCAGTAAGTACGACAGACTGCTGCCCTCCAAGAACTAGCCCCACGCCTGATGTCGTCGCTAGGTACTTCGCCACCCTCACAGCTGCTGTCCAGTGAACAGGACGGTGTCTCCCTGGCGCAACAAAGCGCGCAAGAACGCTGAGAGGGAAGGCGAGGTCCGGGCGAGTACAAGTCATCAGGTACATGAGGCAACCCACAAGCTCTGCGTAGGGACCACTAGGCTCGAACGGCTCGTCAGGAAAGGGTCCAGTGAGTCTGTGGTCAACAGCAAGAGGTGTGCGCTGTACTGTGGAGTGCTGAAGCCCGAACCGCTGAAGGACCTGCTGCACCATGTGCGACTGTGAAAGTGTAATGGTGCGAGCAGCTCTGTCCCTGGTGATCTGCAGGCCAAGGTAGTGGCGCAGCTCACCAAGATCAGTGCAGGTGTGTCTCTTCTGCAGTTCGGACTTCACGTGTGCCAAAGCAACCCTGTCAGGGGTGGCGAAAACAAGGTCGTCAACGTAGACCAGAACAAAGAAAGGTGTGGGGCCACGACGAACGAACAGCGACGGGTCAGCAGAAGACGGCTGGAACCCAAGGTCAGACAGGGTAGAACGCAGGGTGTCGTGCCACTCACGAGGAGCCTGACGAAGACCGTAAACCGGTCGCCTCAGCCTCCACTGGGTCCCAGGAGGGAAAGAGCCAGTGAAGGCAGAGGGACGACGCAACCAGACCTCCTCGTGAAGACTGCCCTGAAGGAAAGCAGTAGAGAAGTCGAGAGAGTGTAACTCGTAGTCTCTCTGTGCTGCTACGTGTAGTAACACCCGAAGAGTGGTCATCTTCGGGGTGGGCGCGAAGGTCTGAAAGAAGTCAACTCCCTCGCGCTGACTGAAACCTCTAGCCACGTAGCGCGCCTTGAAGACCGGAGGAGATCCCAGTGGCCGCTTCACCCTGTAGATCCACATGCCGTCGACTACGTTCGCCCCCGGAGGGGGAACCTCATCGACGTAGGTGCCTGTGGATCTGTAGGAGGCCATCTCTGCGTCCATGGCAGCTCTCCACTGAGAGGCCCAAGGCCCTGACACTGCCTCAGCGTAAGTGCGAGGAGTCGGAATGTCAAGGGCGTCGGGGTCACCCTCAGGGGCGAGGAGCATGGCACAGAGATGAGGGGAAGCGGCGGCCAGGAACTCTAGCTCAAACTGCCTGTCCTCTAGGGCGTCACTGCCAAGGGCAGACACACCCCCGACGGCCAGAGGACTGGAAGGAGGAGCAGCCACAAGAGCGGTGGCGAAGTCAAGGCGGCGGGTAGAGGCAAACTCAGTGACTGCGGCAGTAAGAGCGGACACAGAGGCACGAGGGTGGGTAACAAGAGAGGCGAGAACACGAGAGAGAACAGGACGGTACGTGCGGTAGTAGTCAGTGACAGGAGAAGGAAGCGACACAGTGAGGGCCGACTCAGGAGGAGACGGAAGCACAGACGGAGACGGACGAGGTGGACGAGAACAAAGGAAGGCTGTACGAAGGTCAGTGAAGGGAACAGGAGACGAGGGACGAGCACGAGGGGAGCGATGAGGGGCCCAAGTCTGAGAAGGAGGAGGAGACAACGAAGACTGAGAACGAGGGAAAACAGCGGGAGAGGGGTCAGGAGGAGGAAGCGGAGGACCAGAGACGGGAGGAGAGGGGGAGGAGGAAGGAGAGGGAGACGGGAGACCAAGGGTCCGAAGACCCGAGACAGGAGGAGGAGACGGCAGCAGCTGCTGCTGCTGCTGCTGCGGCTGCTGTGGCTGCTGCTGCTCCAGCGGCTGCTGCCTCTGCTGCTGCTCCTGCTGCTGCTCCTGCTGCTGTCGCTCCTGCTCCTCGAGCCGCTGCAACTCTCTCTCCTCTCTCTCCAACTCCAGCTGCTCCTCACGAGCACGGCGAACACGAGCCTGGAACCTGGTCGGGTAGGGGTGGGGGGAAGGAGTAGTGTCCGGGGCAGCGGCAGCCCCAGAGTCGACCTCCGAAGCACCAAGCACACCACCCCCAGAGGCAGCACCAACACCAGCTCCAGACCCAGGCTCTCCAGAAACCGAAGGGACACCCTCACCCCCAGACTCCGCACCAGCACCCCCAGACTCCGCACGACCAGTACCAGCCCCCGGAAGACAAGAGTCCTCTGCAACCCGCGGCTCAGCTCCAACTCCAGCACCCCCAGAACCAGAGACCTGTACAGGGACAGTCGCAGGACCAACCTCTC